ACCCTATGGGCACTTCGAATTTTTGCTTCGAACGTTTGTATATGAAGCAATATTTTACCTCCAATTTCACAAAAGGTGAAATCTAATCAAACTCCAAATATTCTGATTCATAAATGTTGATTTCATATAACCGCTACAAAGTTCCACTGACATATTAATTTGGTCTGATTTTCCGATTTTTTTTCCAAAGTGCAAAATGAAATGAGCCTCAAAATATTTTTTACCATTTTTAGTCAGGTGAGTGGAGGTAATAATTCTTTACTAGAATTTATCACTTTTTTAACCTTTTGAAATTTGCTGTGGGATTTTCTGGGATTTTTTTAATAATTATGTTCATATCATTTACTCGTCACCCAGCGCCAGATTCAAGGTTCTGAGTGAAGAGCAAATTCATATACCGGGCTAATTTACAATACGCCTTGAATATTGAAAACTGAAGTAGGGGGCCCACGCAAGTCTTACATGCATCCTTCAGTTCGTGACAAATATGGAACTTGTCGATGTTGTGTTCCAAAGCACATTATGATAGGCCTTTGTATAAAAATATGTGTTCACAGTGCCCAAAGTTCCACTTTTGGGTTTGACAAACTACCCCCCCAGTCCCTGGTCAGGCAATGCGCCTGCAAGGGACGGGCAGATAATAGACCGGCATGTGTGACTGAAATGATTGCTGCCACCAAGTGTCTCCTATTTGGTTGGAGTATAATTTCATGTAAGATTGACAGATTTCCAAGTCCCTTCCCGGCAAAGGTTACAACCTGCCTCTTCGCTTCCAGGAAAAATTCATGAAACTGAAACCCCTCGGTAGGCCTACTATCTGAGGTCATTTTTGCATTCCACCCAATTTTGGGGGAAAAAAATGTGAAGATAGGTTCACCAAGGTTACCGTTTTATGAAAGAAAACAAATTGGGGCTTGTAATGTTATAGAAGCAAAAATTGTCTATTCAAATTTAATTTTGCCCATCCTCAGGCCGGACAGGTGGACGGGTGGCAAGATGAGACACTGAGCCGGAGTAGCAAAAATGATGTGAGATACGGGCAACCTGACTTACCTCGGATAGACTGGGCCAGCTCCTTCAGCTGTGTCTTCTTCTCCAACACCTCCACCGACTGAGTGTAGGCATTGTAGCGGACCGAGAAGGGCCGCGGGATGACGGAGGCAAATTGCCTGGAAAAGAGATTGATGAGCAACACTTTCCTGATCTGTGCACTTGATAACATACAGCTGGGTTTCCGTTGCCTCAAACTTGTGTGTTTACACGCACACCCTCTTATCTTCTGGACGAGTTTGGCTACAATATTAGTGCACTGTAATTAGGAATGTATCTGACCTATGAAATACAGGACTAGAAGGGTTTGTAACTGCTCATGAATCTTTTTATAGATCGTGAGTTCTCCTATTGGACTGGTATCCTAAAAATCACGACATGATCACTCTATAAATTTGAGGTCCAAAAGTGTGTCATATTTGTGCCCCTGTTACACTTGACCTGTGTAATGTAACACTGAACTATCACTGAGTTTGACTTCAAAGTATTTTGTTTGACAGGTAGTTTGCATTACTTCAATGCTCTTGGAAATTCAATAATGTGTTCTGAAGTACAAACTCATACGTCAATATCATACATTGATTTGTGAATGACTTGCAAGGGACTTGTAATTTGGCTTGTAACTAGTGACTGAATCCTGACCGATCTATGGTAAATTAGTATTGATTCATGCATGACTAACTTCAGATTCTGTGATTGACTTGTGACTGACTTGTGATATGACATGTGATGTGGCCTGTGACTGATATGTGACCCGACTTCTGATGTGACCTGTGACTGACTTGTGATATGACCTGTAATTGACTTGTGATCTGACTTCTTATATGACCTGTGACTGACTTCTAATCTGACTTTTGATATGATCTGTGACTGACTTGCAATCTGACTTCTGATATGACTTGTGATTGACTTGTAATCTGACTTCTGATATGATCTGTGATTGACTTGTAATGACTATTGATATGACCTGTGACTGAGTTGTAATCTGACTTTTGATACGATCTGTGATTGACGTATCATCTGACTTTTGATATGATCTGTGACTGACTTGTAATCGGACTTCTGATATAACCTGTGATTGACTTGTAATCTGACTTCTGATATGATCTGTGATTGACTTGTAATCTGACTTCTGATATGATCTGTGATTGACTTGTAATCTGACTTCTGATATGATATGTGATTGACTTGTAATCTGACTTTTGATATGATCTATAGTTGACTTGTAATCTGATTTCTGATATGACCTGCATGTAAACTTACAACTGCATTTTGAGTAGCTTGTGATGATTTGTACGGCTGGATCAATTCAAAAATATTCACGATTCAAACCTTCAATTCGATCATATATCCAAGTATTTTGTCAGATTGACCGACAGATTGTTGACGAAACTATATTCAAAATCAGTTGCAATAATGCACACAATTGTATACTATAATCACTATGATAACTTCTTACATCTGGGAGTATCTCCAGCCACAATTTAGCAAGATTTAAGAGACGAACAAACTTCTTGCCCTGTTGAAACTTTCTGTTCCTTTTAAATTTTCAAATGAATAATTTACTTTTGGAGTCATCATAAGATTTCTGTTGCTTTTTACTGAGTCTGCTTGAAACAAGCCTCCATAATGCAATTTTTCTCATTTAGACCAAAAGAAACTTCTCCCATTTCATTAGCATTTTTATATTCAGAAAATAATATTTGATAATCAATTGAATATTCAGATAGTTGGCACAGCCCTAATGATTTGACTTGTGATAGCCTTCTGACCAACTTGTGACATTTGATGATATTCCTGAAGCCTCAGATTCAAAGCCTGATCCAGTCCATTTCTTTCTTCACGTTCACTTTGATTATTATTTCCACAGCTTTCTGTCCCTGTAACTAGCTTTTCACACTTTAAATCTACATATTGAAATGAACATACCTCATTTTATCCTTGGCGTCTTCAAAGCTCTCGGCTACAAAGTACATTGGCTGGAAACTGGAGATGGGGTATTTCTGCACGGCCGTCTTAGCCGGGTTAAAGGGTTTGAACTCAGGTTTGTCAGTCAGACAGTACTGGGAAATAAACGGAAACCACAACTGAATAGGAATCTTCCATTCTTTATATTGAAACAAAGGAGACAATCAGAAATGTTGGTTGTTACTTCATCATGTGTCCACAGTCTTGTTAGTCTGTATTGCTGTTTGGCTGTCTGTCTTTTACCGAGCTGTTTGTCATTTGTCTACTTGTTTGTTGTTTGGAGTGAGTTTCTGAGGTCTACTGGATTAACTTGAAGATGTGCATGATGCCCGTCTTCCAATTGACTGTTAATGTAGCTGAAGCATAGTCACTGTTCACTCAGTTTTCATACACATAGAGAAATTTGCAGTACAAACATGTACCAAGTGTGAACATTCCTGTTTTAGTGTGGTAAAGAAATCTGAGAGTGATACTAATTTATCCGGCGCTGTGGACTGCGGTTTCCTTTACTGTTCTTTGTTTTGCCAAACCTAGCCCCAAATATGTACAAGACTGTTCTTCAGAGAGGAGAGTAACCTCATGTGGACCTTGCTTAGTCTAAACAAGGTTCACATGAACCCTTCACTATGTGGACCCATTTTGTTCTCAAGTCCACACAATGTCCACTCAAGAAAAGCCAACACTTGCAATGTTTTCATTTTGGTTCCAAATCTTACCTGCAGTTCCCCGTAGGAGGACAGCAGCCCAGCACCGTATGCTTTGCGTTGACCATTCTGAATACACATCCCGAACTCCACAGTGAACCAGTAGCACTGACCAAACGGGAAAAGTACACACACTCAAAATAAGTTTTTCATGGTATTTTTAGAAGCCCAGCTGGAAAAAAATTCAAAAACCCCAGAGGTTAATACATGTAACTACTAAAGGTTTGCGGTAGCAACATGTGACCATCTTTTTTGCATTATTCAGGTCTATACCCATACATATACTAAAACAAAGTATCTTCTCACAAGTGATTTTTTTGCGCCTTCAAACAGTTTATGTATGAATGAGAACTTACTGTTGACAGCTTCTCTATGTATTCATCAGGTGCACCCAGAGAAGCAAGACCAATCTCCTGAAAGGAAAGTGGAAAGTGTCATATATGCCTAAGGTCAATAAAAAGGCTTTAGCAGTTAAGTACTTAACTCCAGTCTTCCTGGACATGAGATAACGGATATTAATTTTCCCTTATCTTCCCAGGGTTGTGTTTCAGTAGTCTGGTTTCCAGATGTAACGGGCCGGTAGCCATCACTGACCAAAACAGGCCAAGGGGCAATGCAAGATGTAACTTAAGATGTAACATCTTGAATGCAACTAGTACATCTCTGTTACTTTGTAAAACTCAGTGTCAGGCAAAAGCTGCAACAAGTACTTTTTTTAAACAGTGAAAAGTCAAAGAGAGGGAAAACAATTTTCACACTGTGGACATCTGGAAATAATAGACAGTCTCCAAAAATTCAATGAGTAGGGTTTGGAAATTTCAGACAGTGATGGAAACATTCAGAAATTCCTTCTGTTTTGGTCATGCAACCGTGGTGGCAACCAGACCTGAAAATAAATCTCAATTGGTCAGCACATTTGGTCTGGGAACCAGACAAACATTGTAGGTCCATTGTAGGTTACCCTCCAGCTAACACCCATACCTAATTAAATTTCTGAGCAAAAGCAGTGGGCTTACTCAATCGGCACACAGCAACTGGATTCGAACCCCTAACCACTGGATCACAATCAAGTCAAAAAGTCGTCTAATTTTCAACCTCCTACATAACAGATCCTATGTAATTCCAAATCAGACACCTTATTTCATTTCCATGAATCAGCTTCCAATTTGTTTTTTCCACGAGTAAATTGAACACCACAGAGAGCCAACTTCAAAACTCACCTGTGAAAACTGAGCAAAGCTCGGATCAGCAAACAACGGCACATGTCCAATCAGCTCATGGCAAACATCACTGTCGGAAAAAAGAAGAAAAGACAATTCAATATGCAAGATAATCATTCGTAAGACATTAAAATCAATGTCCATGTGCATGCATAAAAAATGATGTCACTTAAATGCATCTTCAATGAAATGGCTTATGTGAGTTTAGTTTATGGTACTGACAGAAGACATCATTTCAAATAAGTGCATATGGCGCGGAACGTGTGCAAGATCAGTTTTATTGGTGCCCCAGTATCATTATCATTATGCGTGAAATAGCCTATGTACTAGAGCATGATTATTTGATTTTACCAAAAATCCACATTACAAAAATAGATAAAGAGAAATACAATAAATCATGAGGTTGTTAAAATTACTAAGTCATACACAGATAGGAAATTAAGAAAAAGGTTGGTCAAAATCCTATGTTCCCATATCTCATGAACAATGCCGCAATACCGACAAGGTTACATGTAGCTGTCATTCAAGAGCCTAATGAGAGGAACGGCTGACTAATTCTGTACCACTCTGTTCTGCACATACAAGTAATCTGTTGAAATGGGCTTGGATTTCTAATAGTCTCGTAGGTGTTAAATTGTTTAACGGCAACTAGTCACAGTGAGAAATTGGGACAAGATGTCGCAAGTGATTGAGCAAATTTAACACAAAGTCTACTCCTTTTGCCACAGAGAGTTTCTTCGGTTTACATTAGTTAACATTTATGGCTGCTTCTTGTGTGTGGTACTAAAATCCTGAAATTACTCTTAACACATTTATCCATTTAATTATCTGTTGCTCGAGGGAAAGGGTGTTTGGCAATGTGACAGCCAGGTTTTGGAGACTGCACGAACGTCAACATTCGCTCATATTTGTTATATCTAACGTGCACCGTGTCATAGAGCCTGGGTTTTGGATGTCGTGCGGAGGCGAGCACTCTGAGCCATGCGCACCTGTAAAACTCAGTTCCATGTCAGCTGCTGGTGTAGGCCTATCGGTACCTGTGTACTTGTGTAAAATATTGGGTGTGGTTTTGGATTGGAGTGTGGGTGTGGATTACACAGTGCCTTAGTGTGTTTAATGTATCAGAACAGACCAACAGTAAAAAGTAATATGAGGAAGACTGTGTGGGTAAAGTTATGTCCAAAGGTCACCGTTACATTTAAGGAAGGCTGTAAGAAACTGGTCAGAAAGAGTCGGCAGTTACCTTGAGGTACCCGTTAGCTAGAGTAGGGCACTGCCAATCAACAGATGTTGCCCTTTTCCCACTACAAACTGCTTCACCCCGAGATTTTCTGCCCTGGGTTAAGCGTTTCTTACCCCGGGGTTTGTTAACCTATGTTGGGTGACGGAAGTCACACCACGTGGGGATTGCAGAGTGCCGAGTGTGGATTACTAGCCGTGCTAGTGCAGATTATTCATGAGTTCTTTCATAATTAATGCGTCTAACAGACTGAAACCCAATTGGGTAAATGGAATAACTGTTGAGAACTGAGGAGGAGAACATCAAACCCGCTCCCTTTGATCTTACCAACAAATCTTACTGCTATGCACAAGTTTTAATTGTTCCATCTGTCAACCGAGTCACCCATCAATTATCAATTACATGGTTTTCTACCGGTATTTCCACCAAAACAACCCCATAACCCTTAGATTGCTCATTAAACTCCACGCAAAGGCATAGTTTAGGTTAGGTGACTTTTCCACAGACCAAAGGTAGGTTTCCTAAACTCGTACAACCTAGACTGGCTTATAAGGAAATCATGCTACACGGTCCAATGGCTTTTGTATTGTTACTGACAGCCCATGCATCATTTTTAGGCTGCAGTCGTGATTCTGAGCTTACCTGTAGTATTAGAACTGGACCTATTTCTAAACAACAGGGCTTTTCATGTCCAAACTATGCCTCGCACCATAAATTTCTTCATCCGCTGGTAGGACATTTACGCCCCTCTCACTGAAATGATTGGTGTTGGTGGGGACTTACGGTTCTGGCGTGTACCAAGGGTTTGACCCGTGCCTGATGTACTGGGTGCTGTGGAACACGCGGAATGCCAAGCCAGCCAGGAAATCCCGGGGAGAGAGCAGCCCTGCCACCGGACGCAGGGTGAAACCTGTGCAATCTGGCCATCGAAATGCAAAAACAATTGGTGAAAAATCAACTGGGAAACCAACAAAACCTGGGTGACCTTGTTAACAGACTTTTCTAAACCAACTATCTGGGTAGTGAAGCATCAAACAACTGTCAAGCCTAGATTTTTCTCAATTAGGAGCCAATGGCTACCAATTATTTTTTTCTGTATAAAGGGCTGGCCGTTTGGAGAACAATGATGCACAAAAGAACAGCTGTTGGCAAGCTGCCACAAATGAGTCGCGATATGGAGCGTAAGTACAACTAAATCTGGCCCCAATTCTGAACAACTGGTGTAGAAAAAGTTGAATAAATGTGTATGTATGAAAAAGATTTGTGATGGAATTATTTGACAGATGTGCACCCTTGTCTTTCAATCATCCATATTTTCAGTTTTTGTCTTGCAACTAGAAAAGCTGTTTTGAGGCCTTTTGGTTTTTATGCTGATGCACATTTCCACATTCATGAGCTAACTACATGTATGGTACTGGTAGAAACCTCTGTTTCATTGATTTGTCTGCAAAAATCTGCTCAGTTTTTCTTCTTTAATATTTGCCGTTCTCAATTTCTGAGCCTCTGATGACTCATTATTGAGTATTCAAGTGCATGGCTTGAAGCCAATGAGTAACCAATACTCAGTAATGTTTTCAACGAACAAACTTTTAGTTCAGAATTAGAACAGAAAAAACATGACCTCAACACTGTTTTTCCCCAACTGACATGACAGCGACAGCACCATTAGTTGTCCAGAAAAGCTCGAAAAATGTTTTGAAAAAGTGCCATTTTCAGTAGAGTAACCGTGGACTTTTTCAACATTACTTTGGAAGAACTGAATCTATCCGCTAAGATGTGCGTGAGTGAGCAAGTACACCACACAGGAAGTTAATGACAACCGGTTTCTTTGCAATGCTATCAGCACAGGCAAAATCAAATTCACTACGAAAAGTCACTTCAGATGATTTTTCACACACAAACAGCTTTGAAATTGTTCTTATTTTTTAATGATTCACTCTACTCAGATTTCTTCTAAGAGTGAGTATGTGTTTTACCTTTGAGGAAGTTTGAGACATCCTCAAGTTGCGGAATGTTGTCCTCTCGGTAGCCACAGTTCTCCACCAGGAGGGGGAAGATGTGGTTGAATTCACGGCAGGCGTGGGTGGGGAACAGCTTGGTAAGCTCTCGGAACATGGTGCCCCAGGTCTTGATCTCGTCGGCTGTGTAGGTAACGTGGGGAATCGGGGTCCCACTGCAAAGACAATGAAGACGCAAAATTGGCATTCGAACATTCACTTTGTTTGAACAAAGAAGGTTAAGGCCTGAGGTTGGAGAGTGATATCAACTCCATGGCAAAGACAGTGATGATGATGAAAACTTTTAATATCACAAACGGGTTTCAGAAACGAAGATAGGATTGGTGCTTCTTAGGCTCAAGGTGACAATGATTCTAGTCCAACTTGGCGCCTATGATGTATCCAGGTTTTGGGTCAATAGAGATTGGGAGACAGATTTTTTTTTCCCCAAAACAATTGTCAAAAATTTTTCTTGTCCACGAAAGAACCCTCCACCCTCAAAAGGTGCTAGCATTCCCTATAAACTGTCGCTGCTTTGGTTCCTAATCAATTGGCAATAAGTCCCCAGGGGGACAATTTGTCTCCTCTCATACCAACACTTGACACGTGTACTTCCGGTTGCTAGTCCGTTCTAACATCTTGTTTCCTTCCTCGAATTATTGCTACTGGCGCATGCTCGACAGGCATAACTTGATTGAAAGCTGACAATAATCAAACCATCCACATGACTTTGGGGATATATACAACTTTTTGTTTCCACTTACAAAAAAAAAACAAATGCCGACAAAATCGTTTGTATCTGCTCTACTCTAGAAAACTGATTTCTGAATTATTGTCTGCTTCAAGTACAAAATCTGCTTGCAAAGGTCCATAGATAATCGGAAAACACAGTACTTTGGGGTTTAAAGATCGGACGCTGGGGGCACAGTATACACAGGGAGTCTTACACAGTCTGATTGGTTACAAGCCAAAAACTGACATCAGGCACAAATACATATGACATTACTTTTTTATTATGACATATGACATTACTTTTTTATTATGACATATGACATTACTTGTTTTCACGTGTGCAAAAAAATAGGATATTCAGGATAGTTGGTATTTGCCATATATCAAGTTGACATGAATTGTATGTATCAAGAGTTCCATGTGCAGCTCATCATGTTTAAATGAAGTTGGACATTCACAATTTGTATCAAATACTAAATTTGAGTACGGTTTGTTGATAAGACTGTGAGCAAGGCTGTTGGTGGTTTACACAATTTCAACTAGAACAGCCACTTGGGTTTGCAGAAACAGAGCAAGTCCAACATCCAACATCTGCAATTTCATCAACTGGGGCTTTACAACTCACTGTTTGTAGTTGAAGGCAATGTCAGCAAATTCTTTGCGCCTGGCGCGGTACACAGGATCAGTGAAGCCCTGTGGAAGCATCAAGGGGAATCAAGAATATTCATTACTTGCTGTACAAGAAATTTGGAAAGTTACAAGGAATGGATAGATCTGTAACTTTTTACTCAACAAAACTGATCAACTCTTTAAAAACAGAAGCAGTTCTCGAAGCGTAACCAAAAAAAAAAAAAATTTAAATCTGTAAAAACTTGAAATCACTGCACTTCCCAAATACATTTGTACGCTGTGTTTCTGTCAAAAATGTATGCTGCATGCTTGTTTAATTTATGTTAATTTTGTAAGATAAAAAAAAGGCTGCTGAACCAAAATATCCACAAAGTAGTGAGGTTGTGTTATCAACAAACGGAAGGGCGGCATCCATGTGATCGGTGCAGTGACAGCAATATATTGGCTTCATGATCCGTATATTCCGTTTATACAGTTACTAGCTTATAAATTAAGTGACTGCAAACAAGTCAATTTGCCGTGGGCTACGGGGTGAAAGTACAGGGTGATAGTACAGCTACGTAAACAACTCTCGGGCAAATGGTTCGGATCTGCGTAAACCACCTCATTTGCATAAAGCCTTTGCTTCATTTCATGAACAAGTGAACAGAAGCATTTAAAATTCCAGTGGCATTCTAAAAAATTAGAAATTACTACAATCTTTTTATTAAAAAAGGAGGATTAAAAGATTCCTACCTGATGTAAAAAAAATTAAAGACATCATCAATCCTACATCATTTTTTTCTACATGGTACTCAGGAAAAATAATAGATATGGACTGTGACACACGAAAAAGCAAAACTTTGGTAACCTGAATGTGGCCTTAATGTACAACGAATATGTACAAAATATGCAGATGTGAAATCTTACCGTCATCGTCAGCAACATTGATGAACAATTTCATGACACAAGATATCAAAAATAATTTCATCACCACCTGTTACATGATTATCAGCTTGAGTAAACATAAGGATAAAAAAGTACTACGATACTACAGGACTTCAATATATTCTGTAAGTCTTGATTCATGCAATGTTGCGAGGGTCACTAGAACAAGGTAAACTTGGCATGACCATGGATACCAGTTTGTAGATCACATCTATGCCATGCATATTACAGGACTTCAATATATTCTGTAATTCTTGATCTATGCAATGTTGCGAGGGTCACTAGAACTAGGTAAACTTGGCATGACCCTGGTTACCAGTTTGTAGATCACATCTATGCCATGCAGTGTTTTGTTTAATGCAGCAACTTGACTCTGGGGAATTGCAAAGTAACTGTGTGGTTATGAACATGTGGTGCAGTGTCAAGAAGCCTCAAAGCACTTACACTGCTTTTGAGTTCATCAAAACGGAATTTAGACTTTTCCAAAGGGGGTAGAGGTGGGAGGGGCTTGGTTGAAGGTGGGGGGTGTCAGTAAAACAGTTTACTCACAGGATGGTCGGCATCTAACTCTGCTCCGTAGCTCAAGATGTTGTTGGCAAACTCGTCCGTATCCTTGATCCTCCTTGGAAACCACGGAACTATAAGTGGAGAAGAGATGCCACAAACAAACACATTCAATCCGTGTGTACATGTAACTGGGAATAAGGCAACGGTTTTTGCTGAAAACAAGCTGAGAATGGTCAGTGGACATGTATGGGAGATGCTTATGGCACAAGCTGTGTGAACATGGAACTTGACAGCGAAACCTGCCCAGGTTAAGAATACAATGGCAAATTTACATGTAGCTAATGTTTCTACATTGGAATAGCAACTTGGAATCCCAAAACATTCCACACCGGATCTAAAAGAATATTACTTTTGAGGCTGGTAAAAGTCTGGAGTAGTCCTCATTATGGAATTCGCACTCATTTTTACTTAAAAAAGAAAATCTCCTTAGCATTGTTGACATTGATTTTGGGGGGGTGACAGCTTATATTTCAATATCATGAATTCCTCAAAAATTCAAAATGCTGATGAAACAACTCGCTGTGACAAGCGATAGAAATGTAATGCTCTTTGTTTTCTCTGACAACAAACATCAGGCAAGCCGGACGCATTTGACATGTACTTCCATACACCTCGGATAAATTCACTCTACATGTTTACAAGACTACACGGCCTCCCTGCCTTGGTGATATATGAGCCAATACTTGCTCCAAAATCTGCATTTTACTTTCAACCTGGATGACCGTCAAGCTAGCTTTCAACTGCTCTGGAGGGTGTAGTTTAATGAAAGTGTACAAATTGTGCTAGTCGTCAGGAAACCTCCCAGTTCCATCTCGATGGACTGCACTTGAGGACTGTACACATGTTTAGCTAAGCAAAGACTCTTAACAGAGCTTTTATGGAGGATACTTAGGGAGATCTCATTTGCTTATTTAATACCCTGAATGCATCTAAACCTTAGACAGCTTTAAAATTGTATTTCAGATGTCATAACAGAGCAGACATTTACCATTTTCCTAGCCGTTTTTGTATTTGTCCGTTCAAAAACAGATAGCATATCTGAACAAAATGTACCTCTGCATCAGCGTTTTAGCTAGCGAGCCATGCAGCCGTGTTTTGCACGGCCAGTTTTGTGAAATCATGGCCCATTTTTTCAAGCACGGCCTGGCAGTGCAAATCAAGCCGTGCACTACTTAATTCAAGGCTTGTGCAATTTAGATCCAAACAAATGCGAAAATAAAACCTGAGCTAAAATTCAGCTTTTCCCATGCTTTTTCTTGGCCCCATCAACCAAGTCCAAAATAAAAAATATGCTGCAGTAAAGCTGGGGCTACGGTTTGGACGTTTGGTTCAAATGCATCAATGCCGGCAGGTGGGTTCCCCTTATACTTACAAATGAACTACAGCACCGTATCTATCAACTTGTAACAAAATGAATACAGGGAGCCATACTTGTTCACCAGCTATCGATCGTACATGTAATCAACCTCATTCCATGGTGATCGTTAGCCGCCATATTACGCCCATTCTCGCATGAGGTAGTCCATGGGGACGAGGTTGACATATAATCGTTTCAGGGCTTACGCTGCATGCTCACTATATCATCCAGAATGAAATGAAACATAACAGATTTCTTCTCGAAGGCAAGGGCTGGCCAACACGTAATCTTTCTTATTGTCAATATTCAGCATAAAGCTTGTTTAGGTTCTTCTACCTTAAAGACGGAAAAAATTGTTGAACTCTTCCAATGCCATGTTCAGACTCGTGCACAAGTGCGAGCACATGGCCTGCCTGTATGGTATATACATGTACATGTACATGTACGTGGGTGCGTGTACAGTGAGCATACACGCACTATGCGATTCATGTATGACGTGTATTTTTCCATTCACATTGAAGTCGAATCTTGTACTCAATTTGCCTGTTCCTAGCCAAATTGCCAAAGGAAACATGCACGTAGGAATACTGGGATTTATTTTGTATCTTTATTTTTGTTTTCTTATCACATAATAATCTGAATGTACTGTATTGCAACAAAAAGGCACAAAATGTGTGTCAAGAACTGACCTGCATTACTACTTGCATACCATTTTTTAAAAATGAAATAAAATAGTGATGAGAAATTTGTTCAAAGGTGTGTCATTATTCGCTTCTTTGTTGCAGAGCTGTTTAATCACACTATATAATTGCACACAGATTTACAATTTTATTTTTTTTCTAAAATCTCTTATTTTTTGGTTGGAAAAGGCAAAACTCTCCGAAAACTGTCAGAAATTCGTCAGAGACCACCAGAGAGCAACTAAAATAGGCAGAAATTCCAGGGTCCTTACGCAGGCCCTGGATCCTGGCCGTAAGGGACTTCGCGCTGCGCGCTCGTGTTGCGTGCTTCAAGTTGGGGCACAAATTTTGGAGTCTAACAAGACAGCACTCCCTACGTTTTCATTTTGCACTCCCACTTTTCAAATCCTAGCTAAAACACTGCTCTACGTAAAAGTTCCAAAGGCCAAACCATTTTTTGGTGTTTTGAGTTTTCACTTTGGTTTTCGTGCTTAAGACATTGAAAATATGACAGTGTGTTCTGATGTGACCTTCTCGTATCAAAAGCTGATAAGGGGCAGAATAAAATCGATTGTGCTAAGTATGTTCTGTCTAACTACTCTCTTTTTTCGGTCACTTTTATTACTGGCTACGTCACGGTCTGCTGACCGTAATGATGTGACTTACTTTTCTCGACAGAGCCTTTGCGTCGATGAATAAGTGCAATGATTTCATGTGCAGGGGGCGGAGCAGGATGGTGTCACATCACAAAGCATGATGGGTAACATGCATGGGTTTAGAAAAAAAAAGAAAAAAAAAGAAACCAAGATTAACCACTTACAAAAAGCTGACATAAAGGGCACATTAACTGTACTTGGAATGTTTCCATCCACCTTTCCTCACATTCACTGAACCAAATTGATCAATATGGATCCATTTCAAAAACTCACAATCCAAATACATTACCCTGATGGCAAAATGTACTCATTAATGAATTCAACTGAAAGGTTCTAAAGGACTTTGGAAAATGTCTAATTCCCCAGGTATCCATCATTGTACTGCTAGGCGGGGCAATTTGATTCCACCATGAAAGCTTAAAGTCCATTTTCTCTGAAAGTGGAGTTGATTCTGGCCTTGCGTTTGGTCTGCAAACAACACAAACTGAATACACAATACAGTTTTGCTTCTTCACTCCAAACTTTTACTATCCTGACAATTTCAGATCAAGTTTCAGTGATGACAGCATCTACAGCTTACTCGTATTTTCTTCTTGGGAGCGCGACAACACGTGGACGTATGTTGCTTCCTCTTTCAGCTTATCCAGGACAGTGTCCAACTTGTCCGCCTTCTCTTCGCAGATGACCAGAAACTCATAGCTGCCCTCGTCCCCCTTGGAGGGGCGGGACTCAATCTGCGACAAGTTGATGCCATGTTCCTACGGCAAACAGAAACAGGTAGTAGTAAGTTAAAATTTGTCCTCGGCAAATGTGGCTTCCCAGGCTGGGGGTCTCCAGTTTTGAAGGCATGCAACAGCTTAGACAATCTTTAAAGATGCCCTCCCAAAACTACCAGTAGTGCCTGCATCCTAGTTTAATCCTTAAGTGACTTGTCGGCAACTCGTCAGTGAGCAAGCCTGAACACTGAAGTGACCATGAGTAATCTTATTTCAGCATATCCCCTCCGAGCGGAAACAAAAGAGGGCGCATTTCGGTGGGAATTAATTCACCGCACAAGTTTATGTGTGCTTTTAGCGAAGGACAGGCTGACCTCACAGGGACCATTTCTGTCCAAAGTCAGGGTCACTGTGTGCCACCTCAGCTGGCTGAAATATATTCCACCAGCCTGTCTCTGATGAGTCACACACCCAACGTTCAAGCTCAAGCCCCTAAGCTTTCTACCAAGCCATTACAAAATGACGTGCACAGTTTCTGGATGTATTCCAACCCTCTGATTGATTTGGACGTATTCTAACCCTCTGAATAATTTCAATTCCATCCTCTTCTTGCCCTCTTTTTCAAACAAGCTAGGTTTGCAACAAATACACGTCAGTTCTAAGGTATACATGTTCTGCATGGCAAGAGCGTGTTCATCTATGCAAACCATTTAGTAAAAACATGTACATATTGCAAAGGGTTCTTTACCTGTAACAATACATGCAATTCACAATACAGTACCCCACCGAAACAGTCCCATGGAGAGGCCATTTTTTGGCAGCATATTGTGGCAAACAGTCAACAAATTCTAATTGCCAGCTGTGCAGGGAGGGGACTTGAATTGTTTCTGATGTTTGTTTGTGCACTGTATTTTCTGCCCACCTTACAATCTTTCCCATCTTTTCCTACTGGTACGACACGGATTGCCAAGGTCTACCGGTACATACATATTACCATATCTCCTCAAGCTGTCAACTAAGATTTGCTCAAAAGTAAATCATGAAAGGCTGGCTAAGTTTTTGTCGACCGTTAACTTCAACAGAGCATCAACTCATCACCTGTTGGAAAATCACTGTCCACTTCAATTTTGCACATACCTCAAATAACTTGAGAGTGCGTGCGAGTATTCCAACTTCCTCCTTCAAGCCAAACATGAGGGATGTACGGCCATTCTCCCCTCTCACTTCCGAGTTACCTTTCCCCTGTCACAACAAAAAAGCAAAAAAACGAAGATCCAGGTTCGTGAATCAAGGTCAAATTCACAGGATGAATAACTGCTTTAAGTTTGTATGACATATGATACTGTGATGTATACAAAAATCGCCTGAAAAAGTCCTGTCGACCGATTGATGAGTCGTCTATAAAATGTCACTGGATGATTCATTCCAACACATGACATGAACACATGATGCAGGGGACTGCAACAATTCTGATCCAAAGTGTTTAGTAAATACGTGAAGAGTGTGCTAAGTCCCCGATCGCTCAATATTTCTGAACTCAACGATTATGCAGGCTTTCATTTCGGTGGGGATTTAATTTGGATGACAGACGAAATGATCCGTGGATTCCATGTGCTGTGTCTCCTCATGAATATCAATCTTACAAACATTCGTCCACATGGCATGTTCTTCATAAAATGGACCAAAATGCAATGGCTGTCATTTGTCAAAACTTCTAAAAGAGTGACTTTGATCATGTAAAATACAAATTAGCACCTACAGATTTATAAAAATGATTATTTGGGGATATTTAGGCATAATATGTACTAATGGTGGACATTTGGTTGGCTACTAATGCAAATCAAATGGATTTTCAAGCCACGAAAAAAAGAGCACAACATTGACGGAAAATGATGAGTAAAGTTTGGCTCTCTTTATTCTGTTACCGTTTATAATCACTCTCACTATACCAACATATTTGCCAGGTCTTGTATATTTCGACCACCAAAAATCATCTTTAAGTTTGGCTGCATCAAAAATTTATAAGGAGTACAATATGTTCCTTGTGAGTGTTACATTTGACAGAATTTTGATCACGTTCAATAATTTTGACAGAAACTGCATAACGTTCGAGAATGCCGAAAATGCTGTCACATGTAGTGCTCAAAAATTCCATGCGCGATTTTCATTTTGCCAGTTATTTTGGAGATAACCCTGCTGAAAATAAAATTAAAATTAACAACTCTGAGCATTAGATTTTCATCATGAATCGTATTTTATGTCTCGAACATTATTTTCAGAATGACGGATTTTCTTTTGAGAAAAATTGTTCCGAAGAGAAAAATTGCGGAGCGTCGCCATTCTGTGGAGGGGTTCATGAATATCAAATAAAAAAGAGGGCGCACTATCTAACAGCCCAAGATCCAGCGAAATGTTTCTCTAACGTCACCACGAGAGATTGATGGAAGCCGCAAAATCGCCACGATCGGTATTTTGGACTGCGGTTTTCGAGAACATACTTGAAGAAAATGTGATCGGTTCAGTCCTAAAAGGATGATGGTTTGGCGGTGCTTTTTTGCACTCTTTTTTAAAGCTTGTGCTGTACATCGATATATGGACTTTACTCGCTTTTTTTCCCGCTTTTTTGGCAGTCGTTTTATTGGACACTAACGACAGAATCGAATGACATTTGCGACTGCCGACTTCGGGACCCGATTAATTGTGAGAGGTACTTTTTAATTTCGTGATTATGGTTTTAATATGTGTAAATATTAGAACCTTTCACCAGATATCCATGTAAATCTGTGTAAAATAACCTCAGGGATTATCACTCCTCAGTAAATTCTGTTTGCTCGGATTTTAACAGGGAGTTCATGTCCCTCAAAATTGCTAACGTTTGAGACTTCAATTAATTAACTCCAATTAAGTTGAAAGGTTGACACGGTCATCATTGTTCCAGATATCAGTCATGACTTCCCTCATTACATCAAACATTGGAAATTAATTCACTGCACTCTTCACTTCAGGAAAAGTGAACCCCCAAAGTTGAACATTATCTAATAGTCCATATTTTGAGGAACCTGCCATATACTGGTATGTGCAATTATACACACACATCCAAGCATTTTTGTTTATAACCCTAAAAGCTTAAAATAACCTCAGGGGAAGAGGAATCCAGAGACCACCCTGTCAACACTTTCAGCAATAATGTTGCAATGCGATAATGTTGCAATGCAATAATGTTGCAATGCAATAACATTGCAATGCAATAATGTTGCAATGCATTATTTTCTTGATTAGGCTTTGGTGAATCTCGTCAGTATTGTCTTAAGATCATCACTTTCATGGAAATTTGGCATTTAGACATTATTCTATTGAACTGCTCACTGACAAGACAAATGCCCATGGGCCAACATGCCAGTGATAACAAAACCAGTTGTAATACATGTAGACATTAATGTTGGCTCTCCAAGTGTCCCTTTCCCAAAACATCCTGAAATCAACTAATACTCTTACATATCCATTGAAAAGGTCATGACAACCATATCTTCATGACAACTTCAAATTTCATTCAAGTGCGACATTCTTGTGTTGACTTTAAAGAAAAGTGTAAATCTATTTATAAAACTATACATTAAATGTACACAATAGTACCTACATGGGCAATTGGGAAATTTATGACAACTTGAAAAAAAACTGATAACCTTCTTAGTTACATACACTACGCCTCGAAATGTACATGTACATGAGCAAGGTGAAATTCAGCAACTGAACTCTGTTTCATTATTACCAGCGAAGTGAAACATAATCAGCCTATGAATGTCAGGACAGCCAGACTGCCAGCCAGCCAGCTATTGAGGGACTCTTTTCATCAGGCACATTAAAAAGTGCTTTGTAAGACATCCATGCATAACTGCACATGTACATGTAGTACTGGCTGGCCTACTACATAAAACCACAAGTACATGTACATTGTACATACCAGTAGATTAACATGTAACTGGCTGGTGGTATCCACCACCAGCAACATAATTTGCATGTACAGTAAACTGGCCATTACCTGATCACAAGGAACATTTACATGTAACTGGCCATTCAGTTCAGTAGGGGCCAGATAATGCTGTCACTGCCCTTGGAAACTGTTTGACACAAAACACAGTTAAGATGGGCCTGAGTATTGTATCATGTACGCGCACAATATATAGGCTTGATTTTGCTGGCTGGTAAAAAACAATCGAATGGAAATTTATAAATTTGCCTTTTTTAGAGCAATGGTGCAAATGTTCATTTAGAGGTAAAATGATCACACACACCAGCCTAGGTGTTATTTCAGAAAACTTTGGCTTCAACTGGACAAAAATACTTGTCTTGTCAGCCACACATCTCAAACCCTGTACAATTTTAAGGAAACAGACAGTTTTAAAGGACAAGAAACCATTAATGAAACCTTATTTAAAACCCTGTTAAAAATGAAAAAAAATCTGCTGAAAAAGAGGAGTTTAAAGAAATAACAGATTATATTTCTGCTGCTTACCTACTTCATAGATGAAGGATCTACGCAATAAATCATTAATCTTCATGGAAATCAGTTGAGTTCTCTGAGACCTACATGTATTCATGCGCTACGTACACAAATTTAATGTCATAACTGATGAGTAGATTTTGTTCTGTCCATTCTTTTGACAGCAACAGGGAATATCAACTTTGCAAGAGCATGATTTCTGTCCACTAAAACTGCAGTCAACACGCTTGTTCAGTTGTTGGAATTGCTTTTCAGCATTGAAACACTTTTAGAAATTTTTAACTACTAGGGGAAATTCTACTGGCTTAATGGACCTTCTAACTGTGTTTTGTGTCAGACAGGACAAAGGGTTTCTACACAACGAAGGACATGACCCAGTTTTGGGAGCTCTGCCGCAAAAATGCTTTGTCAGCAGTATGGAAAAATACTCTGAAAATGATCTGAAAATCACATTTGCGAGGACAATTCTGTCGATTGAAGGTGACCCAGTTTCCCACCCTACCCCCCAGAAAAAAAATGGGTCTCAAGGCCAACATTTAGTAAGTTAGAGTTCGTACTTTAGAAAGAACAAACTGCTCCTTGTCTTGGTATATCCTTAAATATGGCATTCTGATAAAAATGGTCCTTACTTAGCACATGAAAATGTCAAGTCTACAGATTTAATAGAACTCGCATTTCCCAGTGTACCTGGGGCTTTCAGTGTGCATCTAACTTAACTGTCACTGTTAGAACTGTCCAATTTTCTCTACATGGTGTCCAGATGCAGCATAAAAGTCAATCCTTTCTAAATGGGAATCAACAGCTGTTTTTATAATTCTGATAAGTTTCACCCATCCCCCCAACAGGTCTATTACTTCCACCATAAGTTTGGACATGTGTTTTTTATGGCCTCCAATGCTTCTGTGTCAACAGTTTAGGAACAGCACATCTGCTGGTAGCAATTTGCATATATGTGCCTACACATTTCCGCAAAACAAATGTGACACAAACCAAATGTCCTCCAACACAAAGTTTTTCTAATCTAAGCATAATGCGCTGCCAAGGTTTTCATGTATGCCATGGTACCGTCTGAACCACAATACACCGTACAAGAATATTATACCTAAAACAATTAACAATTGTTGATCTTTTACATGTACATGTATGATGATTTAACACCTCCAAGTGCACAATGCATACCCGAGGGTGTACAAAATGTCACATCCTACATCCTAGCAGTCAACAAAATGTTTTGTCATACTTGAATACATGTTGATGTTTTTCACTTTTACTCTAAGGGGCATTAAGGGCGACAAAGGAGTCTTTGAACTCCAGCGTTAGCAGTCCCAGCATTATCCTGTGCACTGCAGGGGTGTCTGCGTCTGTGCAATATCTCACAATGCTGGCAGATGTGATGTTTAAGGGTGAGTGTGACATGCAGTTAAGGTACGGTATGTCACCCTGTTACATGATCCCTCTGGGCAAATAACAAAGCAGTATTCAATACAGAGGTATGACAGATGTACAGGTATGCTTAATACTCAGTAAATGTGGGGTTACGAACCCTTGGCCAGAGGTCAAAGATGACAGCCTACCATCTGCCAGTGTACATGCTTACGTTAGTCCTTGTCAGGTCTGGCCAGGGTCAGTGACAACAGTGCTTGGGTGAGGGCTGTTCTTGTTGCATTTTATTGCAATAACCTTAACCTCAGCTAGATATCCTGGCAGATAATGGAGGAATGGAATTCCCCCGTTAATAGTACAACATTAAATTTCAGAGTAAACAAAGTATTTGTACCCCAAGTGCTGTCAGGATAACTTTGGTATACATGTACACATAGCTCTACATGGTACACAGTACATGGTTCTTCACTGTAAATTTCTTTCAACAGAAAATCAATGAACATGCAAAACTGGCTATTATATCAAGCATCACACATGTACTGTGTATGTACATGTACATGTACAATAGTACGTATGTAATGAATGTACATGCACTGATGCACAACAGGTCAGAAAGCATTCGACATGTACATGTACAGTACCTTGTCCTTGCACACTGTGTAGTACACACAAGCTGACCCAGTAACACAGTGCATATGTCCTTAAGTCAGCAGCCAATCAAAAGGCACCATTACGACACACCCAAACACATCCCTATTCATGCAAATGAGGTGAAATGCCACCTAAGGCCAAACAGTGCACAAAACATGCTTGTATTTTATAAACCAGTGATGGATACAACCGGTAGTTCTAAATGTACATTGTACATGTACATGTATGTGAGTGTATATGTATGTACATGTATATTATACATGTGTGCAGTTGCAAAATGCATCGTGACCCATGGCTCAAGTCCAGCACTGACATCCAGAATGATGTGATCTTTATGAGTCATGCGGTGCTTACAAAACTGAATGGCAGTGCACAAATGCAATATGTCTGTCTGCAACACTTGCCTGTCTTTAGAGTGGAAGTTTCTGCAAAGTCTAAATCATAAGAGCCCAATTTGATCTATTATTGCAAGACTGTTCCATAATATTCTTATCAGCTGGATATGTCTCAGCCGCATGTGCATGTATGGTAGTTTTTTGTCGGAAAACCTTTCTTTTTGAAAATGGCCCGATATTGAGGCAAACTTCAATCACTGACTTAAGAGCCACAGTGTATCTAGGTGACAGACATTGTATGGTACCGTAATTCTTCAAGGAAGTGCACGTTTTCAAGCACTCCCAAGTTCTGCGATAATCAAGTGATACTTACGACAACGCGTTTACCAGTCAAGTTCAATGCACAATTTGCCTCCAAAGACTTCTTTGACACTATTACCTGTGGGTTGGTGGTTTTAACAACCGATGTCCCAGCCAATAGATAGCGTGATCGTATTTTACACATACTGTAGAAATGTGTCAAAATGACTGTAACAGTTCAGGGAGATACAAATGAAGATATGGTAACAAACAGTACTTTCCTAAGAGAAAAGGTATAGGACGTTGGGTGGGTTGGGTACATTCATCTAGCCAGTTCACATATTAATTAGGTTATGATAGGTTAAGACCCATTTCTAAAGTGAGGCTATGGTTACAGCACTTTAGATTGGTTGCTGTCTGCGTCTTTTCCACAAATCTCTGCCAGATTTTATTTCCCTTTAAAAACTCCTCCAGAGGTATGGATCTACATGTACACAAATGTACCCCCAGGAAGAGGAAAATATCTATGAAAAGTAAATGTCGTATGAGGAAGTATTTCCATACAGACATCACTAATTGTACACTACACAGGGGTGGTGAGTAGCCACAAACAAAAAGCCAAAAACAGGTACCGGTAGCAAAAAGCTGTAATTTAGGCTGAATCCGAATCTCTTGTCTAGAGCTAAGTCTAGGTCTTCACTCCATCGGAAATGCGTGGAGATACGTAGACAATAGACCTAGCCGTAGCTCTGGAAGCCCGTTACGGACACAGCCTTAAGAAGTATCCAGAATTTTGTATAGAGCATGTAAACACCAAAGCTGATTTTTGAGGACAAAGCTAAACCAAAAATACTGAAACTCAGCTGAAAAGCTGAATTCTCACACCGCTACCTTTAGTTGTTTATCAGCCATTAGAAAATGATGACAGGTCAAAGTCTGCAGGGAGAACATCAAAGCATTTACTTACAAAATACTTGAAATTTTCGGACAAAACTCGCAGGATTTGTGGACAGGGTGTCAAGTGTTTGTAATGTATATCATCAATGATGGGGGGTTCTCTTTCTAGCATTGGATTTTTGACTGAAAAAAGAGGGAAAGGGGAAAAATGAAAAACAAAATTGTGCTCATTTCGGGGCTCGAACCTGGGTCCGCATTCTTGCTGGTCAGTGTTAACTCTAAGTTCGTAAAAACAAATTTTACGCAGTTCTGTACCAGTAAGTTCGTGCAAGGGCCGCACTCAACTTCTCAAGAACATGACACTGAGTGTGCGTGAGTTAAGCCTGACGAATTCACCGATGCAATGATGGAAGGATGAATCACTTTTTCAATCAACTTACTGCATCATCCACGGAACCGTTGGTCTCCAGTCGCCGTAGCTTTGTTGCCGGCTCACCGTCCATTTCCCTTTAACAAGTGCAGCAGAATTTTGCGAACAGATCCACAGAGGACACTTTCAAAGCCGAGAAATCGGCGTTTTCGCTTCAGCCGTCAGGTTTCCGTACGTCCTGAAGGCCAAATTTTGTTACGCAGTCTAAAAGCGCATGACGTACGTGCGACGCAAGTGCGTGCGACGTGCTTATCTTACCTAACCTACCGGGGGGGCGCTATTTAACTTCAGTGTGACGGCGCGGCCACATCAATGGGCGGTCACTCTTTAAGGCGCAGTCCATTAATTCAAGTGAGAATTTCTAGCCAGCCCATCAGCATTAAAAGTGCCCCCGCAGTGTCTTTTGAAAAAGGAGATTGTGTGGCCCCCAAAATGGTGAGATTGTGTAAATCTCTGCAAGAATCAGTGAACTCCCTGGGGGTCCTTGGGATTTCATCTGAGAGTAGAAAGGCTAAAAAATACGGTTGAAAAATGGTCCTATATTATAAGAGTCCGAGAAAGTTGAGGGTTTCACTTGAAAATGACTGCAAGCAGACTTGAGAAAATAAAACACTTTTCGGGGGTAATTTCATTTTGTTGGGATAACTCAAAATATAATTGGTTAACCCACAGAATATTAAAAAGAAAGTGAAAGATTGTGGACCATACAATAATTTAACGTACGCAAGTTATAGGACCCCGAACGATGCTAATTTTACACTGTTTTCAATGGGGCTTGATTAGTGGACTACACCCTTTAGGTGCACCCATTGATCTCCATTATAAAGGCATGTTTATTCCCTTTTTAATACGGGTGTTTCACAATAGTGCACCTCCAAGAGTTTGCAACGTGTTGACCAGTCACAGTGCGAGAAATCTGTCGACCCAATGCGCGTCTGAAAAGGGTACGGCTCCACAGACTTCACGCTCGTTGCAAACTTTTGGGGGCACGCTATTGTCAATCGCCCGTATTTTACAAACTTTACTGTAAATTTGTAGCCTCACTTGAAACAAAGAGTTGTTAAATCTTTTTACTGTTATTTTTGTGAGTTATACTTGTGGTTTGCTGTACGGTTGTTTTTATAGTTCCCCTGTCTAACTGATTCTTACTTTTTACTCAATTATGTGCAATATATTCAGCACATTGTTTATTCAAATCAATCTTGAGTGTAGCAACTTTTTCTCTCACATTTTCACGGATACCGTCCAAATAAATGAAATTGGAACCAACCGTGTTTAACCCTGTTTGCAACTCCTATCCAAGAGCAGAAATAGCCAACACCAGGACAATATTGGAGGGCGCACAGGCCCAAAATATGATTTCAGGTTTTGAAGCCGGTTTTAGAAATGAATCTTTTTCAGCTGAAAGGTATATCCGGCTAGGCAACTTCACGGCACCATTTTTGGATGTCCTAAGCTGTGCTGCAAAAGACAAAAATAAAATTAATGATTTTTTTCCCACAAATTGCCCTATAGGAACTAAAAGTGAAAAAGGTTAAACGCGCGTTTTACTATCATCATGCGACAATGTGACAGCACGACGCGCCAGTGCGCTGTGGACTGGGCAAGTGGTGCTGAGTCAAAGGTGAGGGACATTAAATCAGAATCCTTTCTCCTATGGCGGTCTTAACGAACGTTTGAGACTGACCAAGCTCATATTTATTGCCTTGTGAGTTAAAAATTATATATTTCCAACGATTTTGTCCACTAATTTTACTTCGCTTGTTCAACCCCGGCCCTGTAATGGTATGTCCCCCCGACAGCCAGCGTTTTTTCACTGTTTAAGACCGGCCACGTGACGGGCTCTTGACCAATTATATCATAGGAACTGTCTCGGGCCTAAATAGTTAATTTTAAAAAACTGCCATTAATATGTAATGAAGAGAAAGTACATTTTGAGGGAAAACCTAGCAGTACGGGATAGGTCTAGGTCCAAAAGAAAGATCTGCATCACTTTTTATTGACACTGGAAATATGAAAAGTAAACAAGAAGAAAAACCGCAGGATATAAATAATTGCTCTCAAAAGGTCGTCTTTTATTTATCAGATTTTATCTTTTATTTTTCAAACAAGAGAGAAATATCAAATTTGTCTTTTTATTCACATGAGTCGGTTTTAGATTCTCCGAGATGAAAACAAAGGAGCCTGCACTGTAGATTAATGAGAGCGCAATGCGCAGGCCTCCACCTTGCATTCGAACGGTTACCTTTGATATCGATACTGTATGCATATACAGGAACTCGTAATTGATGAGGACTGCTTCATTATGCTGCATGTACATGTACCACATTAACGTGCTAGAGTATGTCAAGCAGTATATCTGCTGGCCTAGGACTCATGTACTGTATTCTCCTGAGCGTTTTCTGTGTATACAGTCTTGCATCTATTCCCGTTTCCGATCGTGTGTTTACATAGGGGTGTCGCCCCCCTGTACTTATCTCATTATTGATTACTTTGTATACACGCTGCTCTCATCTTCCATGATTCAATGTACAGTGATAATAGCGCGAAATGAGGCTGACACTCACATGGACATGGTATTGGAATGCAGTGTCAATATTGTAAAACCGAAATAGCAACAGGTAGGCCTGGGCTACATGCGTGCAACGTAGTCGGTCACAAGCTGTTGTGGATCCAACTGGGAACAGACGTGAGTAGCCTATGCATCTGTAAATGCAATTGTATCAATCGGAGATAGTGTTGTGTGTAAAATGAATGGCGATCAGATGCATGCTCTGTGAAGATGGAGCAAAGTCTGGCACCCGTCAACGTGAATAACAACAAGCCCGAGTCTCCCGTAAAGAAGATGGGCACCGTACCGCCGATCAAGTATTCCTCTACCATGCCGCATCCCAGGAAGGGAGTGTGGTGTGCAGGAGGCAGGGCCATCCCCAGCCTCACCACGGGCAAGGAACTGAGGCAGGAACATGAATTTCTGGTGCAAACCTGTAGCAGCACTGAAGAGAGGGTCTCTTGCCAATTGAAAATGCTGCGAAGAGAACTGGTGGGTATAAATATACATATACAATTCATTTCTATCGCTGATTTGTCTGCAATCTTTGGACCTAGATGATCATGATATACTTTTACACATTTGTACTTGAAAATGTAACTTAATTCCATGATGGACATAGATCCTAAAAATGAGTACATCTTTCCAACGTCGTGGGCAACTTTGGTCAAAATATCAACTGATTACACTTTTGTAAAAACTCTCCCCAAAGTTGATAAAACGCTTAGACGTTCAGTACCAGTTATCAGATTCATGATAACAATTAGAAAAATTATAAAGCTTTACTGGTTTGATAACATTTAGACGTGAGATTCTTGGGAGGTAAGTCAAGACACCCAGAATTCACAGTTCAAGAAGAGGAGCAAAGATTAACAAAATGAAACAGCATCTTGTGCACTCTCGGGGATTTTATTGTGCCTAACAACAATTTACAACACCTGCAGAAAGCATACATATTAATGAAAACTGGGATCACCATAGGGCAACCATCAAAGGCATACACATGTGCTTGGACTGATGCATTATTGATTTCAACAGATTGGAATGTCATCGATAAAATGACAGTCGTTAAAAGAAACATGATTCTGGCGCCCATAAATTCATAAAAGCGAAGAGGTTTTGCGAGATCAGCCTAATAATGTGTTAAAGGGTTGATAATGCTGTTCTAGCGTGCCTTGGTTAATATTCATGCATATCGACGCGGGGACGGGTATTTTATAAATCTAGACTCTCTTTTCCTTCTGTTAAATGTTGAAGCGTATTGTGAGGCGTTTTACCTAAGTAATAAATTGAAATAGTAAAAGAAATTGACTGTTTTAAGTTGGAAAAAAATATTATAATGTTCGCCCAGATTGTAAGACAGCCTTTAATGAAAATTCAACAAACTGAGAAACAAGGAAATTATAAGGAAAATAAACACGAGTTCTTTTTTTAGCAGAAGAGAAAGTCGTTATGGCCTGACGGACAGACCGTCCCACCGTGACTCATTTTTGTAAGGACAAGTCAGTTTCATAAGCGATAGTGTTATTGTTCGTGATGGCATTGTTTCGACCATGGGCTTTCACAAGCGAAGCTCAGGAAGCGTCAGTGAAGGAAATGAGATATGAAAATGGCGGGTTGGTCCTGGCAGAAGGCCGAAACTTGACTCCGCCAATTGCAATTCCATATTTCACGATATCTGGGGAGACGAAAGCGACTATTCCCCATGGTGGAGTGTATGAAGGTTTGGTACCCGCTGCAGTTTCACAGAATTACTGACAATATCGTCATTTAGGTGAACGGTTCTCCATGGCCATCATGGAGATGATGGCCATCTGAACCTGTCTGACATCACATTAATATGATTCCAGCGAGTTTTCTTAATAACTTCGATGCTTCGATCCTTTTTCTTGTATGCCATTTTCACGTGAGAGCTCCTTTGGACTACCTTCGTTAAAGACCACTTCAAACCAAAGAGTACATAGTCTACTTGTAAAAGTCATAAAGACTGTAATTGGTCAGCTAGTAAATAATTGGCAATCACAATGAATATGTAAGCTATAGTTACAATACTTTACAGAATACAGTACTCTAAAACAAGATACCAGATATATTTTATTGTACAATAATACATATTCATGTGACCTCATTCTAATGCAGAAACATCAGGCAGTGCATACTGACTCAGGGACCATATCTTTTCAATATGGGGTGGACTGTTTTTTCCCCCGAAAGAACATCACATGAACTTGAAGTTATATTACAATCAATTAAAAAGTTCACTGCTGTCGTAAAATACCCATAAACTACATGCTTCACTAAAGACGGATTGTTAAACATGCATGGTAAATTCGTACTCAGTGGACCCACTGTGTGTGATATGGATCCCGCCTACAGGGCAAAATGCATAAACGATGTGTTACATTTAACAGCTTGTTGTCGAGGTGCATGCACCGTAATCTTTTGTCGTCCCACTTGACCTTTTGGGAGATCAGAAAAAAGACCCTCAATCCTTCTGTTGTTTGCACACGGCTTACACTCTACAAATTATTTATGACACTGCCTCGGGAATTTATCAGTACCAAACCAATTTATCGTGCCTGCACTTTAATTTATCAATCGTATTTGGTTCTTTTTAAACTAGGCAGGCTTAAGTGGCTTGCATATTTTTATGGGTCTAGCCGTGCACATTGGCTGCATGAAATGGTGCTTTTGTGATACCTCATGAACACATTGACTGGATAGTATATGTGACCGCAGAAATCCTGCTCCACTGAAGTAACACATCTCTTTTCATTTGATAAATCAGTAAAATAACCTTGTTTAATATTCCTTTAGCGTTATATAACAATGAACAAACGGGCATAATTTAAATGATGTGGACACAGAGGTGAGCGTTTGGTCCAATCGATATTTCTCCAGTCACCTGACATGCAGGTGTGAATAGCGCGGGTCAATCGTGCGATCTCATTTTTTTAGCCTGTAAAATTCATAGACTCATTGGTGTGTGCTTTCTATACATGTGCCTGGACGTGAGGTTTGAAGGAGGTATCAAGCACCCTCGACGCTCGGTACACAGGTGGAGCGAGACATTTATAAGCTCAATAACTCGGTACCAACAACAGATCCTGCGGGAAAACACCCACTTTGTCATATTTAGCAAAGTGAGATTGCTAAATCTTGCTTTCGTAAAACAATCAACAAATATTCGCCCAAACCAAATTAAAATAAAGGAGACTGAATTAGGCGTCGTGAGGTGGAGGGCAAGGAGGCCTTTACCCGCGGAAAACAATTTAGAACAGCTCAGGAGAAAGAACTGGGAAAAAAGGAAGACGGGGGATAAAAATCTTAATTCGCTAGAACACAGCTCCAGAGGTTTTGGAAAAGCTAGCAGATATATTTTCCAGAAATTGATAATGTCGCAGTGTGGAATTCTTAATGAATATTTTAATAAAATTTATTTGACGGAATTGGAAAAGGCCTTTTTAACCTGTCCGAAAATGGTTCTATTACACAGAAGGCTATGCGGATGCAGGACCAGTTGTTACTGCGACAGCTCCTACGTATCTATGCAATGATAAACGATCTCTATGGCAACGCTCAGGACCGGTCTCCAAGCAACCAACAGGAGGCACCTATCATGGCTGACGAGGTGGCTGACCTCCTCACACAATCCGGGCACCTGGACATCCGGGACATTGTCAGTCGATTGTCGCCACTGCGGCGGCGGAGGGGGAGCGACCCTGAAGCCCTGCACTGCGGCGTCACCGGCATGCTCGAGTTCGAAGAGTCAGATGTCGAGGGTAAGAACTAGCGCCCTCTTTACTTCACACAAATTAAACTCCCGTCTGCCCCGTGCAAGTAGGCTCTCGCATCTCAAAATCTTGGAAACAGTTGCAACCCGCTAAGGCCTTTTAACCAGACTTAAAACATTATCAGTGTATACCTTTTTCTTTTAAGACAGCAAGTGAATACAAGCGCAGGTTCGATGGCCCTTGGCAATGTTTTCCTACAGTAGATCAGGAAAAACTGAGAAAAATTCTTCGCTAAACACTACGTATTGTGCGTGTACAATGAACAAACACAACAAAAACAACTCCGTAAAAACCATCACGATGCCTTCAGTGCCGTTTAAGGATACTCCTGGTCCTAGGAAAAAAATATCAAAGCAAACAAAGCAAAAAGTAAACAACTGGACATCTTTCATTCAAATGTATGCACGAATGACTGTTTGCAAGTGACTGCACTGAAACACAGTGCGTGTTTTTGCTCGGACCAACGGCGTAACTTCTTGTTGTCAGTGCTTGCCTTCTGCTGAATTTGTCACGAGTTACAACAAAGAAACTGCCGCTTATATAGAATCATTGTTCTTTCAGGTGACAAAGCACGTGCGTGCATATATATTGCGTCATACATTGTCAAATCTCAACTCTTGTGGAAGATAATTCTAAACTGCATTTTGACAGAGTGAAAGGTGGTTCTCATTGAAGGCGCCCACAGCATGTCTCGTTTAGTGAAGTTACTGCCGCTAGTGACAACCGCAATGGCATTTTAAGTTTGAGTTCAGGTCTGAAATCGAGAAATCTTTGTTTCAAAACACGGCATGTGTACAGTGTAGTATTTCTGACCTGTTCGCGTAATGCAGTAGCAGAGCTCAGCAGATTTTTTATATAAATGCGAAAATCAAATTTGATAACTGCGGAGTTTCGCATAATAACGTCATAAGTTTGGCGCACCTCGCCAAAATTGAACATTATTTACTACGATATTCCGGTGGACAAAAATCGGGTCGGCTGGAAAAGATATTGACTTTGTTGTCCTCACCTGAGCTGACTGATTTTTTGGTCCTTTTTTTGACTGCAGATGTTAACACTAAATTTATATCCCTGCAACAACAATCTGAACAGACACCCGTTCTCCGCTTAAGCCCGCGAACCTTGGTGATAACCACGTAGTGTCGAAAGGGATCTCCACTGGCTAAAAAAAAGGGCAGTATAAGAAACAAAAAGTGACCGTACTTCGGTAAATTTACAACTTTAACGAGATAGTGCCACATAATGCAATGTAAAGCGTACTTATTTAATAGTCAGTCTTAAAAGCAAAGAACAACCTAATTAGTGGTAAAAATATCAGCAGTGTCGAACCGTGTTCTTCAATATGTGCCATTCTAATGCGATGTTGGAACAAACCTGGCAATATCCCTACAACACACTAAAGTAGTTGTGAACTTATTGGAACTTTAGGTCTAATGGGCTTTTTGATCAACACCGCCTGATTTATGTATTGAGAGAGTTCCGTTTTGGCAAACGATGTTGTCTTCACAGTTGAATGTTGAAACGGTGTTTGTGTGGGAAAGCTGCTCTGTTTATGCTCATCGTGCTTACTGGTCAAGTTGGTCATCAGGAAAGTAAATTACTAGCAAATTAGAATTAGCACATTGCGTGGACATGTCCACTCTGTCTGCGGAGAGAAGCACGCGGCATGCACAATATGCGTAACTATTAATTATGTTTAGGGTTAAAAGATGAACTTCGTACGTATGTGGGGATTATTTATAAACTATCCAGCAACCAGAATTAAACGCCATTTACGATAGCGGTGCCTTCCTGTTCGCACGCAGGTGTTACGCGCGCGTTATCGGTACTTTCCTCTCCCACCAATAGGATGTAATTTGCGCACGCGCTCACGTTAAGTGCTGCACGGTCAACTTGTTCCACCCGAACGCAAATTTGCTTCATTTATTGGACGACCGTGAACAGCCGTGGGTTGCTTGGCATCATGGATCGGTGCTGTGACCCCGCTGCGGTGCTGGGGATGTCGCCTTCCTCAACCTGAGCGGTGGATCGGAACCGAACAGCGAACAGTTTGGGGAAATAAACGAAAAAAATGGTGAGGAATGAATTGGCTAGAACGGCCACCGACAAGACGGCTATCTTCTGCCGGGCCTCTGAGGCCGTGGTGTAAACCGGCACGGCGGCAAGGCACAAGACGAGCGTGGAGTACACGCTGACGCCGATGAATTTGGACTCGTTGTAGTTGTCCGGAACTTTCCGGGCCCGGAAAGCGAAGTAGCAACACAGCAGAACGATGAGGAGGTTGTAGCCACAGAAGCCCGGGAATGCCCCACTGAACAAGCAGTACAGCTCGATGTGATCGCTGGGTGGAGAGGTGTACAGGAGGGCTGGCTGGGCTGAGTCTATGACACCGACAATGAACACGGCGATGAGCTGAGATCACCAAAGAAAAACAGACGGTAGTATAGTCAATACCAGTCATTGTCAAAAACTATAGCAAAGCGGGTCCTTCACTGATTCTTCAGTGAAAAGCCTACATTGAACGAGTAGGGACGCAAAATGTTACACACACAGCTCGAGATAGGGTTACTATGCTTGTCAAAGTATTACATTTGTCTGCAAAACGGCTATGGACTCAAATCTAGGGTTCAATGCCATGACACTGCTTAACAGCCTGTAGAAACGCCATGCTAATTCCACCTAAAATCCCTTTAATGAGTGTAAAATTGGGTTACAGAGCTTAGTGTAGGCAATAACGTGCTTACCTGAATCAGGATCAGTATAGCTGCAGTGGCAACAAGCTGGGCTGGTCCGATGAATCGCGGAGGCCTTACCATCCTCCTTCCAGCTCTGAAGATCCGGTAGATCCGGTTGACCTTGAGCAACGTGGGTGCATATGTTGTGGTGAAACACACAGAGATCAGAGCTTCGGACGCTGCGCACGTCAGTCTCGTTGGTGGTTGCAGAAGTGGGATAATAGCCAGGAAGGCCGTCGTCAGGCCAAGGAGGTTGATGCCGCTTAGCTCCCTACTTGTAGCCTTCACCAGCCGGCTCTGGCGATAATACACCATACCCACCATCGTGAGGCATGACAGAATGATTCCCAAACAGGTCAGAATGAAGATACCTGTGATAAGCGGATCTGTGAGGTTCACGGTCAATGGCCTGATGGGAACACAGGCATCATATGCATCATTCGGCCAATGGGTCTTCGGGCACGCTACACACTCATCCCCGTTCTTAACGATCGCGTTGTCGTCACATCTCTGGCACCCCCAACAGCACTTCTGTTCCAGGGGAACAACTATGTATCCTACTGAACATTCTTGGCGACAAAGTGACCGGGGAATCTCAGGATTCTGCGACATCCATCCAAGCCATTGGATCCTCTCACGGTCCACCTCAAGTCTATTGTGCTTCTTCCTAGAGTCCCACTTGCCGATGTCTTCGAAGCTGTATCTCCCATCGTTGTACTGAAGGTTTTTCAAGATATACACTCCATCAGGGTCTCCGTTTTGGTTCAAGTGTAACGGCCCCGCAGTTCCCGTGAAGTTGACGTGCAGCAGGTGTTTTCGTAAATCTTCCCCTTTAATTTGGGCCCGGGTCAGGGAGCAGTTCCACGCGTTTCTCGATGGAGGGCAAGCCTCCATCAGCAATGAGTGGAGACCGTGAGCAAATACATTCACGGCGTCTATCGGACCTGCGACGTTATACTCAGCAGAGAAGCCGTCAGGCAGAGGATCAGCACAGACCTCCATGGGGAGTGTCTCCGAGCAGTTAGAAGCAAGCCTCTTCCTCCAGTACCGAGTGAACCACTTCCCAGCGGCCTTCGCTTGTCTCGGATCAACTGAGTTGAGGTACTCTTCGAAGGCTGGCTGCCTGGGATTGTTCAGTCGGACGAAGATACCCCCAGCCACGAGCTGCTCTTGGTTGTAGTCTGCCAGTGAGTAACCCCATCCGTCACTAGCAATCCAAGTTAGCTTGTACGGGAAAGCCGTCTTTGATACCTGCTTCAGGAACTTGTAGGGCAGTGCCCCGGCCGCGAAGACAACCACGACCCGGACGGAACTCAGTCCCTTCAGCGTCAGCACGATTTCTTCCATATCCCGCTCGGCGTCCAGTTCAGACAGCGGAGCGGACATGGCTACACAGATCCCGCCTTCCTCGGCCTGTGTGATCAGTTGCCGGGCGCCATGGAGACCGTAGCTGTCCACCGTGTAGATGACAGCGATGTAGTGCCAGCTGAAGTGCAACAAGAGGTCCACGATAGCGCCGGCCTGCAGCTGATCCGGCGGCACGGTGCGGAGAAAGTACGGGAAGCGAGCCTTGTTGGAAAGCTCATTACTGGTGGCCCAGTGGGATATCACTGGGAGCTTATAAGGTTGGGTGATTTTACTGACAATGACGCTAGTTGCACTAGAATCGGGTCCAACTATACCGACCACCTTGTCTACTGGCGACTTCAATCCGATATCGCAGGATGAATCGTTTACAAACGACAAAGCCACACTCACGGCTATGTCTTCCTTCCATCCAGAATCCCAGATCTCGAATCCTAGTGAGATGTTTGGGAGGAGGTCATCTCTCTTGTTGACCTGGCCAATGGCAAAGGCCATGGCCTCCGGTAAAAGCATGCCCAACGAAATCTCGTCATCGGTGAAGTCACACGAGAACTCAGAGCTGCGGGCAACCGTGAACATGCCCCCAAGAACAAGGTCTCCCGGTTGGCGGTAGACGTCGCACTGATTGTTGGGTAAGGAGAACTCATTCACGCAAGCTACCAGACCAAACACGAACGCAAAGTTGCACCAAACTACGATGGAAATGCGACCAAGCTTTGGACCCATTCTTTTTTACTTGCACGGAAGTAAAAACACACCAGGATGTTAAATGGCGCGTAATGATTTCATCCCGACACCCGAACAGGCACCAAATCGCGTAGAAGTTTAATTCCGAGGCAACTGCAGACGGGCAAGTATACGTTTGCGTCTACACAGTGTCAGTCACCT